AGTTGACTTTTGTATTACTGAATTTGGACAAACCGGAATTTGTTTTATATCTATATTTGCTAATAAGACCTAACCATCCAAGGCCTATATACACGCTTAGGACGTACATGCGCTATACCAGGCCCTGAAATATTTAATGTTGGTTTTTAGCTTTATTTTATCCAGCCTATACAAAAATTGTACAAAAAGTGGATAACTGGGACTCCAATACTACATAGTGGTACTGTCGACCTAATAGTTACAAAAACACTATCAATTCAGAAGAATGGGTTAGGAACTATACACTAGAAGTTTAATTTCAAATGAATATAAAGTATAGTGAAAATGTAAAACTTGTAAGGAAGGTACTGGAAATATTTGAATAGGGGAGGCAGGAAATATATGCTACAGCTGTATGTGCAATCTTGCTGTCTGACTCACCCGGATGAGGGTAAGCATGAGCGATTCAGCCACAAGAGAACAATGCACAGTATTTGGATCTTACTCTAAATAACTTTTACCTGCATTGTATCACCAGCTCACCACATATGTAAGCTGCTTAGCTAGGAGACCGTACTTGTGTTTAGTCTTGACCCTACTGATATAACAATATACATTAGATTCTGTAGCTAGCTGATCAAGACTACCTTGCCTAGCTAAATGAATTTTAGGGTTCTGGCTCTGACCCAAATATGTGCCTATGTAACCTTTTCCCCTACCGCCCACAGGATGGATATGGGATATTTAATAAACAAACTAAACTCTGAATCATGCTCTTCATACTAGCCACTCACCCTTACTCTTAATCCAACCCCCTGCTCAGGCCAGGCTCGTTGAAACAGCAGCGATCCCACCAGGATGCATTCATCAATGTTAAAGTATTTTGTATTAAAATTAGGCTTCCCATATGAACTAATGTTATTATATTGTAAAAGTTCTATGTATATACTGTACTTAGGCGTAGATGTTTAGATTCTGTTGGCGATTATTTGTATTTGAAGTACGTGGGTGAAGCTTTTACCAAGTGGCGATTCGAATACAGGTTGTCAACGAAGCACGAAGATAAATCTTCGAACATTACAAGTCGTATGTAAACCATTCTTTATACATAAAAACAGTTTGGCGACTGGATTAATGAGCATTTATCCTTTGTTGCAGAGGAAGGCCTTCTGAACCATGCTCGTCATTCTGAGTTACTCAACAATCCGTCATCATCAAAGGGCCAATGCTCGTTATTCCCCTCGCAAACCCCCGTTTATTAATGAAACGTTTTACACACAATCTGTTCTCGGTAGGCTAGGCTCCTCCATCCGGTGGTAAACCCCAAACGTCAAAATATTGCCAAATTCGATGATTTTTAGCACTTTATTCAAAATTTGTATCTTCAATACAAGTTAATATTTTTAACTAATAGGATGTCTTGAGCAATTAGGACTAAATTAAACTCTGTTGACAATTACATGTATTTGCAGTACGTGGATGAAGCATTTATAGAGGTGCAATTCGAGCAGAGGACGTGAACGAAGCACTGCTCAGAAAAAGTACATACGTCATCAGCTGTGTCTTATGTAAAGCGTTTTTCTATTCATAAACAGTGGGTTTGGTGGCTGGATTACTAGCATTTGGACTGTTAATGAAGACAGGTCGTTACAAACGACTCGACTGATGACGTATGTACTTTTCTCGAACAGTGCTTCGTTCGCGTCCTCTGCTCGAATCACACGTCTATAAATGCTTCATCCATACACTGCAAATACCTATAATTGCCAACAGAACTTATTTTAGGCATAACTATTCAACACATTCTAGTATACAATACAAACTTACGAGAAAATATATTTTTTGAATATGCAGTACGTTAAAATTTATGAATGCGTCTTTTGTCGTCGACCACCAGTGGGACCAGCGGAGCTAAAGACCAGAGTGCACTCTACACTTATAAACAATTGCACAAATTATAGTACTCCTTTCATTCAACCTGAACAAATCATGAAGAACATCCTTTGGCCAGTGTTTCACCAGCCACCACAAGACTATAGAGGCTATTTTTACCTCTATGACACAATATTAAATGAACACGACTCGCGATACTTTAATATACTAAACAATTATGCCAAAGACTGCTTTATACTCACAGTATATATTCGTCCACCTTCTGTAGTGAGGGACGACCCCGACGTCTGCCACGTTGAGCCGGACTCCTGGAGGCCGGCCAGAAAACAAACCAGACGGCAAAACACAACCGCCTAGTGGAGCTGTCCTCCTGGCGACACCCGAATACCTCCGGCAGGGCAGGCACCAGCTCCCTACACCACACACACACAGGGTAGCAACCCTGGCAGAGCGAGAGCCAGGCGCCCTCAACATCCAGAGGGAAGACAGGAGCCGCCAAGGGCCGCCCTCTGCTGCCTCTCCGGTACGCCGCCTCCGAATCCCCTCTCAACGCCTGAGGTGCAAGCCAGAAAACGTAGGAAAATCTACGAACTCTCCCTTGACCTCCATGGTGATATATGCGCCAGGCGTCTCAACTTTCTTGGCAGATAAATGAAGGTGCCTTACTGCAAAACGTAACCGAACTGGCAACAAAAGCATAATGTTTTTCGGCGACTCCTAGGCGGAGCAGAAGTCAGGCGTCCGAACAGCGTCTAGTTTCTGGTGTTAGTGTTGGGATTTTGCCTACTACCAGGTCTTGTTTTCTTGTTTCTTGGAGTCATCTTCCCCTTATGTTGTACTAAATATAGGCCTCCTATCTCTCTTACCCATTTTTATTACTTTACACTTATTTGGACTGAATTCCAGCAGCCATTTATCTGGCCACTCCTGAAGTTTGGCAAGGTCTTCTTGCAGCATCCGACAGTGCTCTTCAGTTCTTGCTCTCCTCATTAACTTTACATCATCTGCAAACACTGACATGCGCGAGCTCACTTCCTCTTAGTTTAGTTTAGTTCATATATTATGCACCCCCAAATCCATCCTGTGGAAGGTAGTGGAAAGGGTTACAGAGGCACATAATGGGCTCAGGGACTGAACCCCACAATTCATTTAGCTAAGCAAGTTACAATCTTGATGAGCTAGTTACAAAATTCAATGCACATCGTCACATCAACAATAGGCTCGCAACAATGCACTTCCAGCTTCACCCGTGGGACAGTGTAGGGAACCATCAGTGAATATGACTGGAGAGAGACTCTGGACAGCTCTGGATGCTGGATGAATGGATGCTCTGGACAGAGCATCAATTTTTTTTTTTTTTTTTTTTGAGATTAAGGCGTTGAGCTTTATCTCAAGACGAAGCTTGAGCTGATCTCTAATTTGCTTCTTAGGTGGAAAGGGAGGGATTAAAATTTGGAAAAGATGTAATCTCCCACGGTGCAGAAAAAGTGCTGTTGTTGTCTCTCTTGGTACAAATTATAAATCTGATACATTCTGAGTTCAGTTCCAGTTTTAGTTAATCATTTGGAACAATGTTGACCTAGCTCCAATAAAGAAATTCTGGAGGGCTTCTGTGCATGGGTTAGGATGAGCTAGCCTAATCATTTTTATACGAATTTTACTGTTAACTCTGGAAACTCACATGGTCATGAGACAGGGACCTTTTGGTACACCACTCAGCCTGACATATCCTCTTTGACTATGACCCTTTGTTTCCTGTCCGTCAAGTGCTCCCGTACCCAATGACTTTCTTGTTATCCCCGCTTGTCTCCCAAACTTGTGTATTAGTCTTTCGTGAGGAACTGTATCAAAAACTTTCTAACATTCTATAAAGATGCACGCTACCCAGATCTCTCCTTCCCTTGTCTTAACCCTCCAAAGGGTTATTAAGGCCACCATATCAGCTTACTGACCAACCAGCAAGTTTGGTGCTGGATTTAAGACCTATCAACCTCTGGAGGGTCATTAAGACCGTCACAATATCTTATTGACCAACCAACGTATACTCAATTGTACTACCGAAATTGCTCTTTTTTTTGGTGCTTAACAATTAAATTAAGACATAACCTCTGCAATATTGGTGACTTGTCATCTACACGCCTGTTGATTAGGAAGGTAGAAATAAATGTCTTAAGATGGATTTTGTTATTATTATAATTGCATTTTTGGGTTGAATGTATGTGTCTGATCGAGATAGTTTTGAGACGTAGATTCCCAAGCGCAGATGACGTAGGTAGATAAAGTAAATAATATTGTGTTTTTTAGACAATTTATTCAGTTCCATTTCCTAGGACGTCCCACCATTTCTGTTGTTGTTTTAGATTTAGCTACGCAGAACGAAATGTCCATGTAGCACGGGCTATGGTGAGCCCGTAATATTTAGGTACCATCTCTGTTGATCTCCAATTGTTGTAGGTTGTTGTGGGTGGGGTGAGGCTTGTGAGATAGAGTGACAGAGGAGAGGTGTGGGGGGTTGGGTTGGGGCGAGGCTTGTGAGATAGGGTGACAGAGGAGAGGTGTGGGGGGGTTGGGGTGGGGTGAGGTTTGTGAGATAGGGTGACAGGAGTGAGAAATGGAGGGGGAGGGTTGCTGTGAAGTTGGGGGGGGGGAAGCTTGTGAAGCGATAAGAAAGGTGTGCAGCAGCCCTCCTTGTGGGAGAACTGCTGCATTGGGTTGTGGGGGGGGGGGGTGCATGGGTGAGGTGTGGGGGGTTGCTGTGGGTTATTGAAGTGGGTTGGGGAGAGGCGAGACAGGGCGACAGGGGAGAGATGTGGGATTGGGAGGGGGGATGTTTACTTCCGGTTGTTGGGGCTAGATTGAGGAGAAGCTTTCAAGGCAAAGCGACAGGAGAGAGGTTTGTGGGGGAAGCGGGTTGCTGTGAGTTGTGGGGAATTGGGCAGGGTGAGGCAGGGCGACAGGGAAGAGGTTGGAAGGGGTTGCTGTGGGGGTTGGAGGTACTGAGGCACGGCAACAGGGAAGAGGTTTGTGGGAGAAGAGGGTTGCTGTGAGTTGTGGGGGAATTAAGTAGGGCGACAAGGGAGAGGTTTGAGGGGTGGAGGGGGTTGGTGGTGGGGTTGGAGGGGTGGGGGTAGTGAGGGAGGGCGACAGATGGCGTCACCGTCGCCTCACCATTACACCGTGTCAACAAACAGTGAGGAGGAGCCAGAGGCTTGTGGTGGTCTGCTGCCTCACTACGCCTCCTGTATCCTTCACCCTCACACCTCGGGGCGCCCTTCTACAGGTACTTGTGGTTACCTTTGGGGTCCTGTGCCCTCACCAGCGGTGTTTGTGGGGGTTTGTTAACGTCGACTACGTCGTAGCCAGCTGTGTTTATTGGGGTTTGTTTGGGTTGTTATCTGTGGTGGTGGTGGTCACGAGTGTTGGGGTGCTCCACCCCCCACCACCATACCCCACCTCACCCAACAACAACACTAAACTACACCCACCTCCACACTGCACCCCCCCTCCCTACACTACACTACTTCCCCCCCCCTTTACACTACACTTCTCCCCCCCCCTTTTACACTACACTTCCCCCCCTTTACACTACACTTCTCCCCCCCCTTACACTACACTTTCCCCCCATACACTACACTCTCCCCCCCTTACACTACTCACCCCCCCCCCTACAATGTATTGGGCACCCCAGCCCCTCACTATACCTCACCAAACACTAAGCTGGTTGGTTCCTCCAATACAGTATCACATTGGACTCGAACATTCTATACACCACACCTCACGCTGGCCTGCTTCCCATACAGGGATCCTCTACACCTAGTGAGCCAGCCTGAGGCTTGGGACACATTCAGAAATATCCCTGCAATACAAAAATTTAATCTCAAATTTGGGGATATTAAGAACTAATTACTTTTTGCTCATTACATTGTGATAAATGTAACAGTTCTAACAAGCATATGCATAATTCATGATGTCTGAGACAGAAAGGCTGTTTGTATTTTAATCTTGTATCAAGGCCCCTCCTTGGAAGAACTACTGGCCATCCCGAGGATGCAACCCAACAACATTTATCCAGCTTTCGGGTGCCCATTTACTAATAGGTGAACAAAGACATTTGGTAAAAAGAAATGTGCCCAACCATTTCTGTTCTCTTCAGGAAACAAATGCAGGATCCCCAATTGCGAGTTGAGAACGAAGCCTACTGTACTGTGAGACATGCATGCACACACACGTACAGTGTGTGTAATTGTGTGCACGTAAACGCATGCACATTTTGTAATGTAAATGCGAACGTAAATGCATTTACGTTCCGTGTGTGTTCATTTACACGGGATCTAGAAGACCCTGTGTAATGAATTTATTCAGGTTTTATGATCGAGCCACAGAGATTTTACTGGAAAGAGATGGCTGGGTTGACTGCATCTATCTGGACCTAAAAAATGCTTTCGACAGAGTTCCACAAGAGGTTGTTCTGGAAACTGGAACATATTAGTGGGGTGACAGATAAGCTTTTAACTTGGATGAAAAATTTTCTGATAGGAAAATGAGGGCAGTAATCAGAGCCAATGTATTGGACAACAAAGATGTTGAAGAAATGTAAGAAAATTCACTTTTGCAAACAGAGTGGTAGACGGAACAAGTTGGTGAGGTGGTGGTGGCTAAAACCTTCAGTAATTTAAGTGTTATATGACAGAGTGCTGGGAAGACAGGACAACCACAACGCGCATAGCTCTCATCCTGTAATTACTTGGGTAATTACCGTGTCAAGATTTCTGTAGGTGGTCTCGGTTAGTCTTCCAAAATATTGGAATTCTTATATTTGTTTCCTCGTGGCAAATGTGCATTAATGAGCTGATACAGGTAACTGTGTTTGCACTCATAGGTTTGCATACAGATTTTAGATCGTAACCTAACCCAAAATTAATAAAATGTTACTCTTTTATTACCTAAATTTATTTTCTTTTATTCTAAATTTATTTTATTTTATTCTTTTAGGTAATTTATAAAATATTGACTATTACAGTCAATACAGTATTGTTTTTTAAATGGTATTTATGGCTGAAAATATCCAGTGAACAAAATGTGTGCGTTTGCAATCCATCCTCTTGAAATTATAATACAATATTGTATGTATTTTTCAGAGGAAATGAAAAAGTTCTGACTGATAATCAGTACAGTACAGTGCTGTTCGAGGAAATATTTTATCAGTTATAGAAGATTTGCCTTGATAAGCATTTGATAATGGATGATTTCATTTATAGCTCAACACTTTGTAGTTCAATATTTCAAAGCCAAGCACTGTTATTAGGGTAGTTTTACAAAGGAATTACTGTTGGTATCCCCAATATGGATGTGTGATTTTTGTGAATTTTTGTTATCGATAGTTATTATTTCTGATTGTGAATTTTTTTATAAGAGAATGTAATTAGGTATTTGTTTGAAACCAAAAATTTGGTATAGTATGGTGGTGCAAAAGAAGATTCCTATTGTTATTTGAGCATGTAACCTGCTCAACATATTATTATAAAGGGGTCACACACTACATTCAGCTTAAACATCACCCTTGCTATCTCGTTAATTTGTGTACATATTCGTACACATGTGGATGCAAATGGTCAGTGTTTATACAGGTCTACAGCCATTAATGGTATACTGTATTAGTGTAGGTGAGCATCGCAGTAGGTTTCAAAAGTTAATTAAATTCTAGTTGCCTCTCACACTCATGGTTAAATTCTAAACATAGTACACAAGTTTATACAGGTGAAATTCCTTAAACCAGGGTGGAGTAACTACTACCACAATTGTTTGACACTTGAATTTTCAAATTAAGTCTTGAGGATTGTCATTATACAGCCTGTGAAAAAATGTTCACAATTGATCCAAACTTCATACATCATCTTGTTGACCAGGAGACATGATGAAACGTGGTGTGCTGGTGACCAAGGCTAGGATTTATAATTCATTGTTGGGGAACAGGAAGCCAGCCAGAGTGCATTTATACACATTTGGCTTATATCAAGGTCTTTTTATATATTTTTAGTTCAAGAACATCAATAAAACTCGGTACAGTATAGAGTATTGTAGTTCTTTCTGACTGTGACTTTACCTTGCCTTTCTCGATCCTCCTCGTACAATTAAAACGTAATTACAGTAGTACTTTTCGTAGCTAATTTAAGAATTAATGTGTAACGTTTCCAGATCAGCCAAGTGGAAATGTGGTATTTGTTATAAGAGCAAGTGATGCTGGGGGGAAGAGCAAGTTGTGGCGGGCCAGTGTCTTGGTGGTGTAGTGAAGTGTGGAGGTGCTCGCCCAAAGTGGCTCCTGACGTTATATCTGCCTCCACACTAACCGTACAGATGTCCGATTGTGACCAGTGTAGTTCCAAGTTTTCGCTTCTAAAGAGGCGGGTAAGTAAAAAAAAATAATTGTCTACTATTGCAAAATTTTTGTTCTAAGGAACAAATTACTGTATAGCTAAAGCATTTGTTTAAAAGTATTAACACAATTTAAACATATGTAGACACTGACAGTGGGTTGGATTATTAAATCTTATTTAAAAATAATTCTTTAAACATTTTTGCTAAAAAACTTCTTTTATGTAATAAAACGTAAAATGCAATCTTGCTATCATTTTGCAATCCATGTATCCACCTACTTTTTTAGCCATAAAAATACTTATTGATAGTACTTCTGGTTGAGATACTTTTAAGCTCATTATAGTCCAGTTGGTAGTGCATGCACTTGAGATGTTCAGTGACTTGGGTTCAATCCCATTGCATGGCTTCAATATTTGTGCATATCAGGTTTGTTGTAAAGAAACAGAAGAGACATAGTTGTGTGGAATAGGGCAATCATAAGGCAGTGGCAAACTAGATACCCTGCATGTTTACCCATAGTATAATAAAAGTAAAGCTTCATTCAGTCTAATAATAACTAATAATAAATAATTATTACATTTATGCAAATGCACGTACATGTGATACCTGTTTTCTTCACTGGTTATGTAAGAAAAGTACAATACGTAAAGCCATTTATATGCAAAGCGTTTCGGTGGTGTGAGGATATACTGTACCATGTTTGTACCTTTTAATGTTTTAAGTTGAATCGTGGATCATTAGGAAGAGTTGTAACTTAAAAAGGTGTCGGTCTTTATAACCTCGATGCATGCAACATCATACTACTATAGCATTAACCCAAGAATGTGTTTCAGAGAGTCTGCGGTGGCTGTGGACTTCAGTTCTGTGGATCATGTATCAAACGTGGAATGGGTGGAACACGAAGGTGCAACAAATGTCTGGTGCTAACCCAGTGGCCTCTGGATATATCAGAAGTAACTGCACTCCGGGTTAAGGACTTGATATATTTCTTGCACTCGCAGCATATCAATACTGCGGCATGTACAGGTTGGTAATGATATTTCATTAGATTAAATACTGTTGGACCTCACTTAAATGGACTAGATGAAGCAGAGCCAATTTGTTCCTTGTGGGGTTTATTTTAATTTGATAGGGCCCTGGTTACCCACGGGGTCAATTTTTGTTTTCCCACAGTTTTGAGAGCCTACAACCATTGTTGTAATGAATAAACAGATTTACTTTATGATAAATCCATATAAAACTCATTTTTACAAATGTACAGTATGGTACACGTATTCAAATCCTTTACTGTGACACCATCTTCTCATGCCTATCAATTCCAAGGGTCGGTATACAGCAAAAAATCTACACATTTTTTTTATTTATTTTTATATTAATCTCTAGTAAGATAAAAAATGACTATTTTCAACTTGTACCATTAAAAATTAATAAAGAAATTTCTAATAGAAAAATTATCAGAGAATAGTAACCTAAAACAAGGCTTTTTTTCATGCCTTATTTTTGGAAGGGGTTATTTTTAAATTTTTATTAGTTCTTATTAGTTTGCAATAAGAATTATATGTGCTCTTGAAATATATAGCGTGGAGAAGTCATTCATGATGTTCAGATAATTAACACTTTCGCGCTATCTGGACGCGCCGGCGCGTTCGGTTTCGTCTAACGTAAACGCATAGTGGACATAAAGTTATGTCAACTTTTAAAATATTTGTATAAAATTCAATTTTTATCTGATTTACTTTGGGTTTGTTTCAAACTGCGCGCTATGAGGCTCTCTTTCTCACCACTAGGCTGCATGGTACAATAAGTTCATGAAAGGTGTGGATAACTTCGATCAAATGGTATTTTGTCCCAAACAGGTTGCAGGTGGGTGACTTTAGCCGTTTATACTGGTAATTCTTCCCCCATATCATGTATTATATGCATATGTCTGTTTAGGGAATTTTATTCCGATCAATATACAACCAAAAATAACTGTGTGCAACAAGTATAATCTTGACAAACATAACAAAAGTAAAAATATTTCGTGTGTGTTTGACGCTCACTGATATGTTCCAACGTTGTTTTATATTTGTCGCTATTCTAACTTACGCTTTGTTGATATTTTTTACCTATGGGCACATAGAACATTCTATTGTGAACACATTGACATAAAAATGAATGACGTACATAGAAAATTAATGTCATGAGAGTGAAATAAGTATAAACTTTCAAAGCGCCGTGCGTCGTCCCGTCACCGATACCGGGTAACAATTTCACCACTTCCCACACTCTTGCGGGCGGGCTGCATCATTATTCTACGCTTATATTCATATCACCGTGTTGGGAATTTCATTGCGAGTCCATTGATACCAAAATTAACGCTGTAGAGCAAGTGTGGAGGTGATTACAATCCCAAGAGTAAAAACATTTTGTTGCTGATGGGCGCTCACGGCGAGTCATCTACGTAGTTATTTATTTGGTGCTGGTATCCCTATATGTTTCGTGACTTATTTTACTAATGTTCTTCTAGAGAATTTTATTGCGAACACGTTGGTACCAAAATGAAATACGTAGCATGAGAACTAAGGTCAGAAGAGTAAAAAGAGTATACACATTTTTGTTTTTACGCTTAAGCGATAAAAACGCAGCGCGCACATTCGGTTGGCTGAGTGACCTTTGCGGAGAGCGCGAAAGTGTTAAGAAGAAAGTTTTTGAATTCCTTCCCATTCCTGGGAACAGGAAGCACATTAGGCTGATTGAGGTCCCCCCTGAGCCATACTGGTGAACTCCACGATGCAATCCACAAGATTTGCCTACTTCCCGAGTACCTACTTACTGCTGGGTGAATAGAGGTAACAGGTGAAAGGAAACCTACCCAAATGTCTGTTTCCCCAACAATGGGGAAAAACCATTACAGCCTCTATTACTACCCTGTAACCACTGCAACAACCTTGGGATAAAACTCCTGATTGATTATGATCTAAACACATCCAGTGTAGTTATAGTTGTCATCCTATGAAGTCCCTCAATTGTTTCAAACGTGGGTTGGACATGTATACGAGTGGGATTGGGTGGTTATAAATACGAGCTGCCTCGTATGGGCCAATAGGCCTTCTCCAGTTACCTTTGTTCTTATGTGCTTCAGTCATATTCCATTTCTTAACAATATATATATTTTTTTCAGAGAAGCGTGACCTGATTGAGTTAGTGACCCGTCACATAAGCATTCAGCATAGAGGCGTAGATGTTACTAGCAGGCAAGGTCCACCTGGGAATGTTGGCAATGGTACAGCAAATGCATCAGAGCAAACAAATCGCAAACATCCTCTTAATCCCACTGATGTCCCTGGTGATGATGGTATACGTGTGAGGCCTAGTAGCATATCGCCTACCAATACCAATAATATGGATAGCATACGGGTAAGAGCAATGGACAGCATACGAGTTAGACCAGGTCCCTCCCTGTCTCCAGATACAGATACTAGTGATTATGATCCAGAAGCTGACTTGGGTATCAGAGTCTTTGCAACAGAGAAACGGGCAAACCAGCCACACGCAGCCTTTAGAACCTCTCCAATGAGTCCAGAGGGATGTTCAGAAAGTGTAGAAGAACGCTGTTCACACTGCCCAAGTGAAGACTGTACAACTTCATGCTGTAGTCTAGATTCTTGTCATAATGGAGCATCTAGTAGACCTTCAACATGCCCCGTTAATGCATCAAGTCAGGATAGCTTTGAGTTTATTAATGCCTCCTGTGATGGTCAGCTCCCAGACACTCTCACTGTTGAAAGAACTGTTGAGCATGTAGTTCCTGGTGCTCAATTTGAACCCTTTCAGTTTCATGAAACAGAAGAATCATTTGAGAGGATTGATCTGTTGAATGGCACTACACAAGAGAGTCCCTTGGAAGCGGCAACCAATTCCTTGCCAGATACGCACCCGTCGGCTCCACTACTTGACGATCTTCCACCTGCCAGTGCTACATCTTCGGCCTCATCCTCGGCACCGCCTTCGTCTGCATCTTCACCAGAACCAAACAAATCTGTAAGTGGATATGCAGGCGATGAGTATACGTGAGTATACTCATCATATATACACGTGAATATACTGTAAGTGGATAATTTCTATATCCAGAGTCGGTAGCATATATGGGTTATTGGGCTAAATGGTTTTTCTCTTTTGTTAGAGAATGATGTTTTCGCTCTCGCAAAGTAGTGCATTTAATTAAGGCAATATTGTATCTTCGTCAATAATTATTTAATTACATGATCTGGATGTCATTATTTCTTCTACTTTCTTTTGTTTTTATATATCTTTTTCATTGTAATCCTTAATTTTTTCTCTTGCATTAAAACTATTCTTCCACCTATTATATATGTCCTTATTATATTTGACATCCTTGCTTGTCCTTGTAATCAAAATTCCTAGTCTCGACATTCCCACTTGCCCGTGTAATTACATATCTTGTCTACATGCTAAATTGGTTCCTTCAACATTCTCACTTGTCATCCTTGTAATAATTTTTCTTGCCCTCTAGTTTCCTCATAATCAACATCCTTGCGGAGAATGAGTCAATAATGTGGCTAAAAACAAATAACGCAACGCGTGCATAACTTTTAGTTTCATGTGTAGTTGAGTTATTTAGGTTAGGTCACTAAAGGGCTGCAGTAACACAGTAGCTACATTCATGACCTGCAAGGGATCATGGCTTTGATCCCTGCACAGATAAAAAAAAGGGATCATCAGTCCAGGGATATTAGTTTGTCCATAATATTTTCAATATTCTCTCGATGTAGAAAGATGTTTGAAGAAAAAAAAAAGTTATTAGATACCATTATATATCTAAAAAAAACATTTTTTGCTTAACCATTACTAATCTGGGCACCACTATTTGATGTATAAAAGTGATGATAATATGCTGTTTGAAGCGTGAGGAGCAGGGTAAACCAGTGTACTGTACTGTATAGTGTTAATAGGAAATCAAATAAAATTGGAGCATGTTTGAAAGTAGAGGCCTACAGTACTGTATTTGCATAGTATAGGTTTTAGTTTGATAAGGCATTGTTCTGTATTAACATAAATTTATGTACCTGAAATAACAAGTCTGATAACTTTCTCAGTTTGTGGCCAGCATTATACCTCTTGCGGATATCAAGTCGGAAGAAGACATTCGTCGATTAAACGTTCGGCAGTGCAAAGAAATTTTGTCACTGCATCGAGTCAATTATTCAGGAGTGAGAGAAAAGTCTGAGCTTTTCAAAAAAATTGAAATACTCTGGAGAGATTATCAAAACTCTCAGCAAGGTGAGTTACAGCATGTTGTAAGAAATCATTCTACAGCTTGTATTACTGTACATCTTGGGTACAGTAAGATATTGTATATTACACAATATACAAATATGTATTGTACATACTGTACTGTATACAGTGGTGCATTAAAAACTTTATTTTCTGCTATTTCTCAATGCAGTATTATATTAAATTATGTATAAAATCTGGTAAACTTCCAAATATTCTAAAGGTATAATGTTGAATCAATGTTAGACCAACTTCATATTGTTATATGAATATCAATAATATTCTAATGTTGCTTTTCTTAATCTAATGCAAAGTTAATGCAAATAATGTTGAGCTGATGTCGTGTCTAGAATAACAATCCATCATCAAGGTGTCAAAATTCTAGAATTTACTTGATCTCGACCATTCCAAATTTCCGAGAGCACTTGATTTCCAAAACATGTTTAATGTAAATATTAGTTCTGTTGTGTAAGTTGGTTTTAATTGGCCGTCTGCTACAATCTTGGCCATACAGTATTTCTAAAATAAACTTCTCGTCCATTGCTATACTGGAATGAATTTCTCTTTTACATAATAAATTATTATACTCCACCTTCACTGATCAAATTTTTTTTATAGCTTCCAATGACATTAATGAATTTACATACAGTAGTGATGCACATTGAATATACAGTAGCAGATGTTAAGTTCTGTATTGGGTATTAGTAGCCCAATGTAGTCACTTTGGGGGTGGGGGTGACAGATCAAACATGGCTGTGTTTTTTAGTATGTAAGTAATGAGCTGTAACAAATGCTCTAGTGTTGAAAAAGATACAGCAATTAAGTCACAAGAGTGATAACTTTGTGCAGCATCTGTCATTGTCAACACTTGAACCACTGGTAACTCGCATACAGTAATTATCTTTGGGAAGGGGCAGCCCCCTCAGTAGTTCCTCAAGCTAAGCTTTGCTCTAGCCAGGTTTTAGAAATGCACAGGGTCTGAGACTGTGCATCTCCCCCTTGCCTACTGCGAGACGAGACGAGATTCTGGGGCCGGATTCATAAAGCGGTTACGCAAGTACTGTACTTACAAATCTGTACATCATTTCTCAATCTTTGGTGGCTTTGTTTACAGTTATTAAGCAGTTTAAGAGCGCCGAAGTATTAGGAGACTTTATAACAATAATATTTTATTGGGAAGTTTCGATGCCCGTAAACTGCTTAATACAGTAAATGTGAACAAAGCTGCCAAACGTTGAGTAAAGATGCACAGGTTTGTAAGGAGATGTACTGTTTGTAATGCTTGTGAAATCCTGGCCTTGGTTCTTACTAAGAAGCAAAAGGGGAGCTTTGGGATCAGAGAATAATCCAAAATTAGAAAACCCCCACTAGAAATAAGCATCACAAAAGAAGCCACCACATGAAATGAATTGGGTACCTTTGGGTAACAAGGGAAATAATTGTTGCCACAGAGTAAATGCCCCAACCCTGATGTGTCCAGGTGGCAGCCTGTTGATTTTGTGACAGGGCCCCAGATGTCTGTTCCATAACATCTGGGCATATTAAAGTCCCTAGGTACCCATAATCTTACTTAGACATCTGTTTGCAGTAGTGTTTATTTTCCATTTACCTGGCTGGCTTTTCATCCTTACCTACAAGCTTCCATATGTGATTTGCCTGTGTACTGTGATTACTTTGGACCTAGAATTGAGTTTTGCTTCTGGGTATGAGGCTGCAGACTTGCCTCTGTTGGGACTAAAATTGTGCAAAGTTGGTAGAAATATAGAACAACGTATATGGTAATGTACAATGTACACACATTCGCACTAACACACACTCGCCTCATGTTAATTATTTTTTGCATATTTTTTTCAGATGTAGAGACCCTACCTGAAGAGCTGGTATGCAAAATATGCATGGATAGTATTATTGACTGCGTTCTGCTGGAATGTGGGCATATGGTAGCCTGTACACAATGTGGCAAACAGATGTCGGAGTGCCCAGTTTGTCGCCAGTATGTTGTTCGTGTTGTACGTACCTTCAGGGCATAAATTAGTGGACCTGTCATTGAACCTTAAGCATTTGTATTTTTAAATTTTGTATACTTTGGTATTCCACAGTTACACATTGTTTTAGTCTCCCGGGGAATTTGTCAGTTGTGCATATTGGATCTTTCACCTTTTGACGTATTTGCTGGTCAATGAAACAAGATAAATAAATAAGCTTGGAGGAAAGATAATACAAAGCACACAAATGCACCATGCATGTACTATATTAATCATGTCTGAAAAAGATGATTACTTTTATATTTTTAATAAATATTTTGTATTATGTTGCTGTGCAACTCTTGTGAGGAGTTAGTGAATAAATCTGAGGGTACCAAATTGATTGATAGATTAATGAGCTACAATGAAAACATTTTTTTTAAGTATACATAGTGACATAATTCTAATTTATAAGGTTGGTGATAATCATAGATGCCTTTTTTTTAATGGTGAATTGTTACCATGTGTGAAGAAAGTGATGCACGTTACCTGTGTGCATTTCTAAAACTGGCTGTATGTGCAGTACAGTACATGATTGTGTTCATTAAGGTAAATACCTGCAATTTATCATTCTTGTTAAAGCATGAAATTCTTGAGATATGCTATCAGTTGTAGACATGACCACACACTGAACTCCAGTGATTGTTGAGGTGTTGACTTTGTACGATGATGCTTGTGCCCACATCCACAACATTACACTAATATACACTATACACTTCTATAATTTATCAATAGATTTGAATGGGGTTACAGCTATTTCACAAACACTTTGAAGGTGTGGCAAAATGAAACAACATTCACTCTGTATAGCATCTTCAGCTGTGTTTTAACGTTAGTGGAACACTGTTGATCTTTGTCAGTCGCCATATTACACAAGACTTGTCAAGTAAACTAAATTTTGATCATCTTTGTGATGTGATATTTAATTTGGAGATATTACTACAGTTAATTTAAATATGCAATAGAATGTCAAGGATTGTCTTAATGTTTTTAAAACCACTAAAGGTATAATAATTTCACCATACAGTATGTCTAAAATTCTTCAAATAAGAAAGTACACCATGGATACAAACCTACACTTGTGTATTTGTAAAATTTATGTAAAGAAATTAAGTCCTTCACACTCTTCTGAGTGCTTTGTTAAGGTCCAAGTGTGTGATTAAGATGCAATTCTTCTTAACCACACACTTGGACCTTAACAAAGCACTCAGGAGAGTGTGAAAGACTGTGTAATTTCTTTACATAAATTTCACATACACAAATGTAGGTTTTTATCATGTTATTATGTCTGAGAAGACATTACCATTATTTAAAGTACACTACAGTATTGTGTATTGTACTTTGGTATAAATTACAAATATGGCTAGAAATTATTCATTTGTGTGTTCCGAACAAACCATCGCACTCCTGATTTGTGAAGACTATTTCCTGCAACAGTACTCTCTAGGAAGTTTCCTGCCTTAGTACTTCAGTACAATAAGTAAATATAAATGTATATATATACCAAAATAAGCAAACAAAGGGGTGTATGGTTAGTTTTGTAAAATTATATAATTTTTGTATTGATTGTATTACATAGTTTACAGAAACCACACACACACACCAATCACTGTTCAAAGACCTCATCCAGGTCTTCAGAGGTGGGGCCCAGGATACAGCAAGCATTTCCTTATTTAAATTAAATTTGTGAAATATTTCTAGACATTCAAAGCGAGAAAAAGATTGCAAGAATTAATCATAATTAATTTTACAATGGCTGTATGAATATAACTTTTGTATTATTGTTTTGTTCTGAAAATTATATCCACTAATCTGACTTCTCTATTCAGGCTATATATATATATAACATGTACTTTGTCCTGTATTTGAAAAGTGAGAGACCTAGTTTGAACCCTAGACTGGGGTGTGAATGATGTGATTTATACAAGAGTATATATAATTATATATATGTATCACAAATCTAATTATTTTGTTTAATTGTTTACTCATTATCTATAAATACTCTCCACTCAGCATGACTTTTATGGAAAGATGTGTTAACTTTTTTTTTATTTAACGTTCTTGTGCATCATGACTATGGGTACAGTATTTTAAAGTTTACAAGACATTACCTGATAAATCATTTCCCACATGTATATATACACAATAAAAAATACATATGTTTACGGGCTTCATAATTTACTGTCCCTGGGGTTGAAGCTGGCTGATGGCATTGATATATGAGGGAGGGGGGGGAAGTCAAACCTTTGTGCAGTGTTTTCCAAAAAAGAGTATTTTTACAAGAGAGCATGTGATGTGATTTTATATGCCAATACAAAAGCAGAAAGACGTAGGAAAAGCAATGTTAGAGTTGAATTCGGTGGATTTTATTGAAGGACACCTCTGATTATTCCGCACACTTGATGGTGCTACATAGCCTTCCTGGTTTGGTGCCTTCTTTTGATAATTACTGATTGAAGGACATGTGACAACAGAACGGCAGAAAAAAAAATTTAAATCCTAAAATTCAGGGCATTCTAAGAAATGCACAACTGTTGTTGGCACAATGCAGTTCCAACAGTAAGGCACAGGGGTCTATTCTATTAAGTGTAAGTTAATTAATAGACTTGTGCAAGTTTTTGCTACATAGCCTTCCCAGCTTTGTGCCTTCTTTGATAATTGCTTACTTGTGCAAGTTTTGCATGGCAATTATATGTAGCTTGACTTATGATGTGCAAGTTATGTTGTAAGACCAGCTGGGAGTAAAGATCTTTCCGGGCCACAAAGCGAGTCTAGCACCCGTTACATGCGCTGCAGAAAACTAAGGAACGTTAAAGTCAGACAATGGTGTATAAGACTAATGACGAGCTTTGTTCCCCCCCCCCCCTCATACACACACACACATGAAACCCAAATAGGGAGGGTATAACAAGCAGATGAACAAACTCCATAGATGGCATACACAAGTTATCGCGTGAAGAAACGTTGGGGTTGTTAAATAAAAATAAAAAAAATCCGAAATATATATTTTTATTGCATCGCATATAATCCTTGTACACTTGTAGCCTAACCTTTAGGCTACTGCCTGAGGATCCAGTACAGTACCAATACTGCTAGATGAACAGGACATTAGATGACAGGAAACACGGCCAACCATTTCCGTTCCGTCTGGGATTTGAACCCAGAATTCCAGAGTCCAGTTTTACTGATCAAGATGAGCAAACCTCCTCCTCAGCTTCTCCCTCTTCTTAAAGTTTTTCTTTCTTGGCTGGCCATCGACTCCAGAACCACTGTTGGAACACATGATCTTAAATTAAAGCCTTGCATAGAATATCAAGACCTGCTGGCCTTACAGTACAGTACTCACAAATTAAATGGATTTGTTTGGGCGGGAAGGGGTGGAGCACATTATTTAAACATAATAATATCCAATAGTATTGTGTAATATACTATCTTTAACTACCCAATAAGTCTCAATATCCTTGGTGAATATGACTTGTACATCATCCATCTTTGATTCTTTCTATAATTACTTTTGAACTGTACACCAATGTTCAAAGTGTTCTTTACTATTTTTTGTAGTGTAAAATATAATAATCCATAAACATGTCAACACTTTATATACACTGCATTTTCTCCTTTATGTACTGTATATTCAGGCACAGATCTCTAGTTTTTAATACACAGGCCAGACAGTGCACATTAAGGAATACCTTTTACTAACCTCCTTTATCTTCAGTAGATACAATGAACCTCAAAAACTCGAATCACATAATTCCGAACCTAATACGGATTTCCAATAATTACCCTTCCTCGCGTCCTACCCCCATATTCACTCAAATCTCAAATACATGATGTACAAACTTTAGCACAACACATTATTCCACATTTTCATGCCTTTATATATTCTCTAAACATTACCTATGTTTCTCAGATAGCACATTGTTAATGCTTTGATTCTGGATTTTTCAAATTCATACCATACCATCATGTTGCATCAGTACACACGGCTGGGTGATACCACTCCATCATGGAACCCCCCTTCCTGCCCGAACCTTTTCCAATCTTGTTTCTACTAACCACAGCTTTCATTGCTTCAGCCCCTCTTCTTCCTTCACTAACTCTACTCTCAACCTTGCTTACATAAATCACTCATCAGTTACACATCACAGGCAATGAAATACTGTGTACAATATATAGACTACTACTCCAATCACATTAATTTCATGCAGTTTCCTTAACTTGACCTTCGTCTAAATTTACTTTTAAGTCATACACCACACAAAAATAGATCTGTCAATTAGTATAAGTAATCTTTCTCTACTAAAGAAGTGCATCATATGCATACATTAAATTCGATATACTCGAATTACCCACTTCAGACACAAGATTTGCATCACTAATATTCGTACTGTAACTTCTTTCATAACCTCATTAGTTTTCTGTACTCTTTCAATCACTATCTTGCCAGTCACTTTTGTCCATTACACTAAACTGTTTCTGATATATGTAAATGATCTCCCAGAGGAAATAAGACTCGTTCCTCTCATTGCCACAAAAATCCAAAGCCACAGTTCCTCTCACACACAAGACATTACAAAGCAAGGATCTCAAAGAGATCTAGTCGGGTAAAACTCGGAGACTCACCGTTGTTTTCCCATGATGCCTCCTGTATTTATTCCTTTAACATGGTACTGTGACGATGTCGTAGCAAAAAATGTTCTGTCAATCATTTCTGGCCTTATCTGATATGGCTGTAAAGACAATGAATGCACATAAATTAATTAATAAAAATCAGGCTTTGAGAATATGATGAAAACAATGCTCTGCACAGTACATTTGGTTGCTCACAAGGCAAGATCCTACCGACACCTGGTTAGAATCTACTGCAGTCAAGGTCAACATTCTGCACTGGTGAAGCAGGAAATTTTTTACTGTCCACCCCCAGATCATCCTGGTGGTGGGGAGGAACTGAAGAAAATTGAATTCATCCCTGAATGAAGCCAGATGGTTTATTTACATAGCCTTTCCAGGTGGTACTAGGCATGACAGGAACCACTAGGCAGTTCCCAAGCAAACAACTGAACATAAAAATAAGTCACCACTACCAGGTGGCATCATATCCACAACAAAACACCCCCAACCAATTTCTTCACATTCTACATGATACCAAGTACAGAAAAAGCCCACCACATAACACTAGGAAGACAAGGAAAGTGTGGAAGGGAATGGGAGCAACCATATACTGTATTGTTCTCAAGTTTTTTTATATAAATATTTAAAAGCCGTTTTCTAAGCTATTCCATTTTGTTGCTTCCTAAAGCATCTGTCAGCAGAAGTAACTATAACTAAAATAAGAGTAAGGGTTACCCAGCCTGAAGAGTTGTGAAAACAAAAGATGGTAATTTAGATCAGGAGTTGTCAACCGGTGGTTCGTGGACCACTGGTGGTCTGCGAGATAATTTTATTTGTGTATTGTATGTAACTGTGTAATTTCTTTAACTGATATATTTGATAGTTATTAAAGTCAAACTATTTGATGCAATCATTTCTGGTTTGGTGGACTGTGGGATTCATATTAGTGGTCCGTGGGACATAAAATTATGAATTGGGCAATCCGTGAACTACGAAAGGGTTGGCGACTGCTAATCTAGATGGCAACTTGCCCAAAGCTACACACCATGAGACAGAAAGCCAAGATGCCATCATATAACAGTACGAAGAATATTGGCAGGCAGCACGTGATGCACTGCAGGAAGGGCTACAATAGAACACAAGAATAAATGAAACTGCAGAAGGCCTATTGACTTATACAAGGCAGCTCTTATTTATAGCCAAAGAAACTCACTCATATATATGTCTACCCTATCCTTGGAACAATGTAACAGTCCCACTCTGGATAAATGAACGACTTGAGAACGTCGTTTGTAAATGAATGATTTTGAGAACGATTACTGTCATTCTTGGCTAAGAAAGACAATGATGAGAGCAAGAAAATCAGCATAATATGCTAACAAACAATTATTTATTGTTAGAAACTCTTGTACTTCCTTGCTAAAATAACTAGACCTGTCCTGACCTGTGAACTAGCCATGTATTTCTGTCCTTTCGTGCAATACAACAACATGACACTGAAAAGGTTTTCCTACCATTTTATCCTTAATGCATACTTAACCGTTTTAGTCAAGATGTTCAGGAGAAGCAGCAATCGACCTAAAGGTGCTAATGACTCAGGATATGGTACGGTAACTGAAGACAGGACTGTTCAAAGCGTTAATGATAAAGTGAACGATGGCAAGGAAGAGCAAGCTACACCACAAACAAGAACACACAGATCCCTTAAGGAAAACATTGATCACATTGATTGGTCACATGAATTGACATTGATCACATGAAACATTGATTAGTTGTGCTTCCAACAGTGAAAATCCAAGGAACTTCAACTAGTGAAGCCTCAGCATATCAGAGAGGGTAATTAACATTAAGTGAGAGCACTTACACGGGTTGCTAACTGCTGCGGAGTAGGCTTCTGTCCTCCTGCTTTTCGCATCTGCGACAAACAATTTGTATTATATTAGTGACGAAATTGTCATTATTAAGCACACAACTAAGATCTAATATATAATAGAATGTGAATGTATAATATAGTAATAAAAAATACATTAGTTTAATTTAACATTTAACCATTAGCTTTCTTAAGTCATGGATGTAATCTTCACAATTTTTACCATCGGTTAAGTAAATTAAGTAAGGCCTGTAACAGTCAGTCTCTGGGGCTATATAAACACCTAGCTGTTTTACCCCCATTCTGTAAGCTTTTTCTCCATTACAGAATAAAAAAGCTGCAATAAAACCGGCATGCTCTACAGTTTCATAACCCCTACACCCTAAACTGCTCATATCCTTGCATGCCATGCGTGCTCTCAAGGTAAATATTACAAACAATATTAATAGATATATATATCCATTTACACACACAAGCTAATGTAATTTCAAGGCATTATATGACAGAGTGCTGGGGAGACGGGACACCACGAGCGTAGCTCTCATCCTATAACTACTCTTAGGTAATTACACTAGTAAGTGTATACAATGCCACTGAAGAGGGGAAACTTCTAGATATATGAACAATTGAAAATGTGTAACCTATGTCTTAAATTTTTTTTTAATTTAATGAAATGCTTCTTTATGGGGTGGCTCCTCCAGGGAATAAAAATGATGCCACAAATTAAAAAGTGCTAGAAACAAATATTTAAGAATATTGTTGTAAATCTGGAGACGTAACCAAAACAACGTAGTCATAGTGGGACTATTATGCTTGACAAACCAGTCAAGAATTTTCCAACAGGATAACTACATTATAAAGGTAGATTTAAGAAAGAGGCACATTAAGGAAATGAAATGGCAAAAATAAAATGGAAATTTATTTAATTATCAATGTGTCAGGAACACGAATCCTGTACTTAGGTTTATCTAGGTCCCTTCCCCACCTTAGGTCAACTACTGACTTTCTCCAGGTTGCATCCCATGACAGTTGCCTAACTCTAGGGTACCTATTTACTGCTAAGTGAACAGAGGCATCAGGTGAAAGGAAACACTGCCCAAATGCTTCTGTCCTGCTGTAGGAATCAAACCTGAAATCATCTTGCAGAGGGCAGATAGCAGACACCATAAAATGAGACAAATACATTTAATGCCACTGTAAGCAGAAATAACTTCATTACCTTTGAAAGAGTATATGTATGATACTCTGCCTGGGATACTGTTGGAGGCGCATGTGCATATAGGAGCTTGCCATTCACGTAGTCTTTCAGTATGTAACGTGCAGATCGTGGATTATCAGGGAGACCACGTTGAGTCATAAACCCTCGCATTACTATTGAGGAAAAAACATGAATATAAATAAAAAGGCTTTGAGTATAGATGAAACATTCTTTTTTTAAACACAGCACTTAGTAGCTAAAATAGGCAAGGTCATTACCATGGAAGGACTATACCTAGGTAAGGCAGGTCAACTCTTAGCACTGGTAAGAAAAGTGCATATTATCACAGGGAGATTGACTAATGTTGTGCATATTACCCCAACACATTTTTAGTTCTCTGCAAACATTTTAATCTCCTATGGGGTACACACGGTTCCCAATCGGCATTTGAGGCTCCCAGTAAACATCAGCTGTTGTGACATACTGGCATAAGGTAGACAAATAAACCATTCTCATTCTAGCATGCAATGTCTTCATGAAGGTTATTTAACATTAACAGAATACCCAAACTACTTAGCATCAAACGAACGTCTAAGAAGTGCTTTCACTAGCTGCCCCACAAGGCAAGCAATCTCTCCACTTGTCTAATTCAACACTTTTTTTTTACAGATTCAATCAATCCATTAAGTGTGATGCATTAGCAAAAATTAAAAGCATCATAATGTCAATGTTTTCTATGCAGTGACCTTGATAGGTTAGGTGGGTTGTTTGGATTCATACATTTCTAGTTAAAACTAAATTTTTGCATTATTTAAGTAGCAGCAAATTGAGAAAAAGGACCAAGGTGTCACTACCATGTCAACAGAATACCCTGACTATCCACATTCCACCTGACAAGTACAGTACAGTAGCTTTATAAAGCACAAGGAAAGTCAGAACAGAATGGAGAGAAGCAGAAGCAACGAAGTGTTATTTTAGAACTGTAGCAGTCAGTTGGTAACTTCAGCAAGAGTACCCTGGAAGGGCTGGCACCTGTGTGCAACACAATGTTGCCATATGGAGCAGCTGCAAGAAGAGGTAATGATCAACAGGAGATTCAAAACATCCAGGTACCTAGAATACTAAACTAATGGTCATCTGGAAGAAATCCATCCAACATATGGTTCAACTTGGTAAACTGAAGCCATGATACCATTACAAGAGATAATGGAGAAGAAAGCCTTCATTGTGATGAAACTCAACAGATCTTACCGAACTTAACCAACCTGTGTAGAAACTGGGAGAGTTTGGCACTTTGTTCAAGGCACCATGGCAAGGTGGTTGTTCAGAAAAGGAGAATCTGAGTGTCAAGAAGCCTGAAGATACTGGCACAACACTGCAACTAGATAAAAACAGACCAAACAAGACCAACATAGGCCTTCATCAATATGAATGTCTCATTCCTAGCCAAGAATAAGGAATGTGTGCTGAGAGGCACAGGTGTATTTGCTTTTAACGAGTAAGCCAACCAGTGTCTTTATTTATCATTATTATGTAATTTTGGTGGGGTGGGGATTGATGTACAAGTGTTGTCAGGTTTGCACCCTGAAAGCAAATTCTTTCTTTGCACGCTGCTAGAAATACACGACATGTAGTGACCACATACAAAAGTCACATGTAACCTAGGCCAAGGGATACAAAATATTATTTGAGCCAACCTGCTTTATCCAAAGCTATAATCCACAGAAGCCAAATACACATGTGAAGCAAGCCATACTAGCTCTTCCCCTGTATATTTAATGATATATGTATAAGATGAAACTAATGGCCGAGGTAAAATGCACACAGTATTTGCATGCTGCTGAATGAAACTGTAATCAAAACAATTACTTATGAAAGACACTTTAGTAACGAGTACTAACATCCATATGTGTTCAATAACTCCTCTGATGTTGGTGGTCGGTCTGGGTCTTCTCCTTCCATAGGAGGAGGAATACTAATGCCATACGTATTCTCAAACACTTCCCGTGGGATGTGGCTGGATACAAGGTTAATAGGAGGAACTTCATCACGCATCTAAAATATACAGTAATATGCAGGTTTAAAGACACTTTTGAAAGTTTACTATCACCTGGAATTATATACAGTATAATAATTATCCTCATATTCATTATTGGGATCACTTGTTTCACACAAGTGATCCCAACAAAGGGAAGACGATAATGTCTGACATAAACACACATACAGAAAATATTGAAGCCGTACAATGGGATTGACTCTACATCTATGAACTTCTCAGGTTTACGTCCTCGTAGATATATCACGTAATTGTAATTTCATTGTTCATGCATACATTCACATTATAGTGCATTTACCTGATCAATTGGGAGAATTCCTGAGATGATCATTTCCTGCTTGGTTGTAACAAAGGCTGGGAACACTAGCCCAGGACAATCACACAACAAGATGTCCTCACTTAAAAACAAAGTCTGAAATAGAATATCATCATGAAAACCAATTTGAAACGCAATAATGTCAATTAGATAAGCGGGTCTTTTGCATGCAAATATTAAGAAGTCTCATTTGGCCTTGTAGTGTATTTTAGCAAGATAAATATTGGTTCATAATCACCAAAATTAAGGATATGGTGCTCTTAGTATGACTTATGTGGTCTTCCTGTCATGAACTTCTGCAGTGGGTCTTCCTCCAGAGACAAGCTCATGTAATATGTGCAAGCTACTAATATGAAACATTTTATATGGCATGCTGTTGCCCAACAAAAACAATTATATGAGATTTTCACAATATGGTCTAATATTTTGAGTCAAAGACTCATCAAATTTATAACACAGATGGAAAACTCACATAAGTATGAGAGTAGGTAAAAGTTATTAAGTTTCACACAAGCAAAATTATCTGGCCGAGTGACCTATTTAACCCTACTGTCATCTGTGGACGATTTTACCAGTGTGTTATTTACAAGTCTGATTGGGTTTGTGGTTACATTTTCCATCCATAGATAGCTTTGGTGATTATCTTTAAAATAAATCCAGAGTGCTCCAGTGACCTTCCCTAAGCATCCTTCTAGTGACATACACCAAGCCTGACACCTGCCCCTCCAGCTTTGGTCGTCAGTGTTCTCACCCTTTCAAAGGCTCCTTGATTCCATGCAAATTAACATCATAGTTCAAAGTATTTTGAGTTCCTCAGCGATGAAGAATGAATATTAATTAGTGAAGCAAAATATCAGCCAGATAAGGGAAAAGTTAACATCTAGGTAACAAAACCTTCAACATCCAGGACTCAGCCCTCAGGAGGGGAAGGGGGATTCAACTACAGTACTTATCCAGACACGACTACATATTCAATCGCAATTGGGCCCAAGGCATACAGAAGGATGTTGAAAGTATGTATGTGTGTGTGTGTATTCACCTAGTTGTGCTTGCAGAGGTTGAGGTCTGCTCTTTCAGCCCACCTCTCAACTGTCAATCAATCAACTGTTACTGTACCTACTAACACACTCCCCCCCCCCCCCCCCTGTCACCCCAGGAAGCAGCCCATAACAGCTGTCTAACTCCCAGGTACCTATTTACTGCTAGGTAACAGGAGTATCAGGGTAAAAGAAACTCTGCCCATTTTGTTTCTGCCATCACCCTAGGATTATGAGTCCAGAGCACTGCCCACTCAGCTATCAGGCCCCTGTATGTGTGTGTGTGTGTATATGTATGTATGAACATAAACAAAAATATGTAATACACTTACCTGAAAGTGCTTTGTTTTCCCAGGAGTGGCTGACACGGAAACTTTCTTATCTTCCATGAGACAATTGATAGTTGAACTTTTGCCAACATTAGGGTACCCAACTAGGCCAATAGTGACCGACTTCTCCAATATTCTCTTCTTTGTGTAAATTGTACGAAAGACTTCCATCAACTCGCTTCTGCTTAACAAGCGGCTTGACGTGATAAAATCTGAAGATTCCGACTGTGACAAACGGGAAGTAGACTGCTCTGACAGTGTAGACTGATCTTTTTCTATAGTGGAATCGGTTTTGACATTACCACTTATATGTTCATTTAGTTTGGCTGATAAGTTTTGAAGGTCCTTGCGGCACTCTTCAATATTAGCATCTTCACTGTGACCTAGTTCATCATCTTGCTCTTCAGTCTCCTTCACCTCTGCTTCCTTTCCTGCGTGTTCTTCCTCCTCTCTAATTACATCAAGTTCTTGTCCATTCAGAGCAGAGAAGAAAACTGCTTTGATGTTGTTTTGTTTGAAGTACTGCACCCATGCTTCTCTCTGAGCCTCGGTTAGAAAGTCCGATTTATTGATCAGCAGCAGATTTTCCTTATTTGGATTAATCTCCTTGACGTAGGCTTCGAGATCCTCACATCGGAAAAGGAGGGGGTTACGAGCATCTAAAATCTGAACGACAACATCACTGAAAAAATAAAGTTAAAATAATAAATATTCAAGAATTATGTCTCTCTGTGTGTCTATTTATATCAGTGCAACTACTGTTGGACTGATATACAGTAATTATATCCAACTTATATCTAACTACTGTATACTTATATCCAGTAGTTGCAATTATATAGCACTACTGAAGGCAGCACAAGCCAAAACTCTAGCCTATAATCCACAAATGGATACAGTAATCATATTTGTTATTTGAACATAAAAAAAAAAAAAAAAAAAAAAACAGAAAAATGTACTTGACAAACCTTCTTTCTATCACTCTCCACAATTGTCTCCAGAACTCCAGATTTTTTTCGAATGGAGTTAGAGTAATGCCCTCAACCTCCTGGAGTTTGGCCAGATTTCTGCGCCACGAGAGAAAGCTGGTGCGTTCTGCTTCGGCTAACTGCTCTGGTGTGGTTGTTATGTCCCATGGTGGCCTGAAAATGTTTATTAATTCATACTGTACTATCAATACTCATATATATATATAGTAGACAGTTAACTAGGCTATCATGATATGATGGTGGTGTCAATTGTGACTGGCTTCATAAAGTAAGTACTGTACCAGTAATTATCAAACAGAATTTCTTGCTGTTTCTAACTCTTCAAACAACCCTCCCACTTCCCTACCTAAGACCTAAGAAACACAAGAATTAAAAAAACTGCAGAGGGCTTATTGCCCATGAGGCAGCACCCATACCACAATCCCTTAGTAAAACACAGGATATAATACAGTACAAGATATTCAACCAATACTTTCATAATTCTATTATTTATAGCAACTACAGTACAGTATTTGTTTCAGCATATAACGGACCTAAGATTGCAAAGACAGGTACCATTAGTTTCTTGAACTACTTTTCCATTTTTGTATGTCATTTGGTCTAATTCAGTAGTATAAAAAGTTAACTGTTGGGTCCAATATTTGACCAAATAATTGCTGGAAGTATTATCATTATTGAAGGATGAGCCAAGATATTAGGTACAGTACAGTAATTTGTAGAAGTATTCTCATGCTATCTCATTGATTGTTGACCAATCCACACACTAGTCATTAGTCATTAAACATACTTCAGCCACGTTATTGTGACTCATCACCTGCCTATCTCATTGAAACTGGAAAGAAACAATAAATAAACCTTTCATTTTCTATAGGGAACTAACTTCTAAGATAATGCATACAGGTTACAAGTTTCATGACAATGCGATATGACAGTAAAGATATCGAATGCAAAGCTCAGAGAAAATGTAACAAATTACAAAATAACAACATTTAAATAATTATAAAATAGTACCTATACAAGAAATGCATAAATTAATAAAACAGGGCATCATAGAACACCATAAAAATGACATCTGTCTTCATATATACCTGCGGGGAATGCTTAATAGCTCCTTGTTGGCTTCTTGTGCTGCTAGAACCTTTCTCTTCTCTTCTTCCGTCAGCATACCAGCTACTGTGGTAGGACGCACAAATTTCATATTCAATTTTTCGGCCTGGAATTTATACAATGCCGTATTTAGTGTTTCATGTTAATTAATAATGATAATTTTTTAGAAAAAAACATTTTTCATATAATGTACACATTAATTTTGTCATTTTAAAACTCCTGAATAATATATAAAAAAAAATTTCAGCAATATGTGGGTATAGTTTATCAGGTAACCATCCAGAGATGACCTCAGCCAACTACCTATCACTCAAGTTGATAAAATTCTCAATGCCCATGGTTAATGCCAGTCTCTCAGTGTGAGACTAGCTGTTCAACCCAGGCTACAGTTCTCCATAAATTACTGGTAAACAGCAGCATTCAAATCCTCATGCGTGGAAGGTTTCAATGTTTTAAAGTCACTTTTATATTTCCACTGTTACTCTATTTTAATCACAGACTTTTGATCAACAGTACTTCCTTTGCTTTTTCTTTTATGTCAAGAGGCCACTGGAAAAGTTCCCTGTGATATCAGTACTGGAACATTATCCTGCATGACTGCATAATTCTATCAATTAGATGACAGATCTTATCATAGAAATAAGAGAGTTCAGAAAACTAATCTTTTCGTGACACCTCTGTACTGAGAGACATACAGCTAATTATAAATTACTTAAACTATTAAATACTGTAATAATGATACATGCAGAAGGGGGAAAGGAAACTTGTGAAAATCGCAGCTTCTCACCACAAACTCAGTCCCAGCTAGCTCGGCTGTTGCCAAAAAGTCATCCACATGAGTCTGTTCAGTGATAGATTGAAAGTTGATTCGATTCCAATCTTGCCCATCTTCTAATTCTGAAGTGTGTAACTGTAAGCAAACAAAAATTTATTTTACAAAAAAAATATTACATTGGCAACATACAGTCACACCTAGATAAAGCATATATTCCATATACTATTTATAGATGTGGTATTACATCCATGAAGTTATAGATCAATGCTTGTACTTCCCAGTCTTTCTGATATATATAATATCATAAACAATTGTAAACATATACCATGTTGGTCTAGTAGGTACACAACATCCTGGAGTTTCTCAAGTCATCTACACCTCTATAGGTTAAAAAACAAAGCATTACCTATTAGCTTTTCTTCTCAAGTTCACAACTATGACCACTAATTCTGCTTATTTCTAACCTTAAAAATTCTTCCCTGCTCGTTTTGAAATTTTCTTGTACATCATGGCCAAAATATTTTGCACACTAGTTACCTTATTAAATATACATATTCTGTAATAATAAACCTTTGTATAATATTCTATCATATATTTTTTAAATAAAAATTATCATCACCATATTCCCTCTTTATCTTGTGTTGTGTACACTTTGTTGTCTTGTGTTGTGTATACTTTCTTGTGTTGTGTATACTTTGTTGTCTTGTGTTGTGTAACTTTGTTGTCTTGTGTTGTGTATACTTTGTTGTCTTGTGTTGTGTACACTTTGTTGTCTTGTGTTGTGTACACTTTGTTGTCTTGTGTTGTGTATACTTTGTTGTCTTGTGTTGTGTACACTTTGTTGTCTTGTGTATACTTTCCAAGTAATATAAAATAGTTGCAATTTTTATAAGATAAATTGTATTCAATTAATAAATTGCAACGTGTGGGAGGAACACACAAACTTACCAGAGAATGTCCTGATCTACTCTTCTTTCCGAACCTGTCCTTTATTATGCTTCTCCCGAGGGAGGAAGTTGGAGTGCCCTTCTTCCCCATTGTAAATGTTAACCACTACGCCAAATCAATCGTCCAGGGCTGAGCACCACGCTCTGGTGATGTGGCTGACCGCCTGGAGGTGGTGTGGCTGATCTCCTGGAGGTGGTGTGGCTGACCTCCTGGAGGTGGTGTGGCTGACCTCCTGGAGGTGGTGTGGCTGACCTCCTGGAGGTGGTGTGGCTGACCTCCTGGAGGTAGTGTGGCTGACCTCCTGGAGGTAGTGTGGCTGACCTCCTGGAGGTAGTGTGGCTGATCTCCTGGAGGTAGTGTGGCTGACCTCCTGGAGGTGATGTGGCTGACCTGGAGGTGGTGTGGCTGACCTCCTGAAGGTGATGTGGCTGACCTGAAGGTGATGTGGCTGACCTCCTGGAGGTAGTGTGGCTGACCTCCTGAAGGTGGTGTGGCTGACCTCCTGGAGGTAGTGTGGCTGACCTCCTGGAGGTGATGTGGCTGACCTCCTGAAGGTGGTGTGGCTGACCTCCTACAGTTGGTCTCCTGCAGGTGGTGCAACTAGTTAGTTCTCTGAGGGAACACAACACATGCACCATCTGCAGGTCTCCGTCGTGGTGTTTGTGTTCGTCATGACGTCATAATGACGCAATCACTCCCTCCTCACTCCCCCCACGTGAATAATATACCCTTATAACGCACTTTCTTCACATATAAATTAAGAAAATATGAAACATAAATTATACTTGTATAAGTGTATGAGCATTTTGTAATGCATATGATGGTAGTTATGCAATTAAATTTCATAAAGTGACGTCACGAGACGAAGCAGGCGGATTAGCGCTCATGAACGCCGCCATCTTGCCTCTCCATCAGCCTCAATCAGCTGGCAGTATTGACCAGAAAAATACCTCCTCTCGTCCTCCACGCTGGTACAGGCGAGGCTACTCTTCATTACACAAGATACAGCCCAGTGGCCTCCGCTGACTGGGGTCTCCACTTCGGGTTGTCATCAGCCTTCACCCTCGCTACCTGCTAGTTGAGGTGTGGATTGGTGGTGGATTTTGTTGTATATTGTATTTTATATTGTATTTTATAATATATAGTTTGTATTTTGCTAACTATTCAAGCACTGTGCTTGAATTGTGATTATTATGATTATATTTATTATATATTTATTATTTATTATTATATATTTATTTATTTATATATTATTTATTATTATTATTATTATTATATATAAAAATTATGGTTATTATTTATGGAGGTCACAACAGTGAAGTCACTAAACTTCTGTAATACTTTAGCTTCTGATCAGACCGAGAGCCTGTTTATTGTGGATAGATTGTATATATATTATATATATATATATATATATATATATATATATATATATATATATATATATATATATATATATATATGTGTGTATATATATATATATGTGTGTATATATATATATATATATATATATGTATATATATATATATATATATATATGTATGTATATATATATATATATATGTACCTATATATATATATATATATATATCTATAGCCTACTATATATATATATGCCCGATATGCCTAATATATATATATATATATGAATATATATATATATATATATATATATATATATATATATATATATATATATATATATATATATATATATATATATATATATATATATATATATATGTATATATATATTATATATATATATATATATATATATATATATATATATATATATATATATATATAATATATATATATATATATATATATATATACAAATATATATATATATATATTGTGACGGTAAAGCGTTGATGTTCGGCTGTTTCAAAAGCTAGGGGCAGGGCCTCGTCACATAATCAAAAAAAAAAGAGAAAAGTTGGTCCTTTCGTCTGTGGTAAGGTAATGGGAAGACACACAAAACACAAGTATATAAACAATGAAATTTTAATTACTCTAGAAAAACAAGACATGAATAAAGGCAATCTCATAAAATTCAACACTGGTCAACAAACAAAATAACATGAATAATAACTGGCAAATGGAAAGTTACGCTAAGACAAGTAAGTTACAGTGATAGCAAAATAAAATATAAGTGGTGCTGGAATACTGGCTTCGAGCTGCCACCTCCCTTAGTACACGAAAGCCAAGGCTTAGTCTACCAGCGAGAGATGTCAACTGCTTGGAGCACTGAGATATTCTGACGATACTGGCGCACTGCAGCCCAGACGTCGACTTGTGGTGGAGGCGGAGGGCAGGGGCGACGAGTCACCAGCCAATCAGCGACAGGCAGGCAGAGGATGAGCAGTTAGCTGGTTACGGCGGTGGTAGCAGGTGTCACTGTGTGCTAGATACGATTTGCTCTCTGGGCAAAACGTTTGGCGATACTTGGTGGACGTATCTTCTATAGTATCTTGTATATTGACGTACTTATGTAGGGAAGAGCAGGCTCAATCTCTCTTGAAAGAGATTATCATCACAATATATATATATTATATATTATTAATATATATTATTATTATATATATATTATTATATATATATATTATTATATATATATATATTATTATTATATATATTATTATATATATATATTATTATATATATATATTATTATATATATATATATTATATATATATATATTATTATGTATATATATTATTATATATATATTATTATATATATATATATATTATTATGTATATATATATTATATATATATATTATTATGTATATATATTATTATATATATATATATTATATATATATATATATATATATATATATATATATATATTATATATATTATTAAATATATATATATATATATATATATATATATATATATATATATATATATATATATATATATATATATATATATTATATATATATATATATAAATTTATATATAAATATATATATATATATATATATATATATATATATATATATATTTTTTTTTTTTTGAGATATATACAAGAGTTGTTACATTCATGTACAGCCACTAGTACGCGTAGCGTTTTGGGCAGGTCCCTGGAATATGATCCCCTGCCGCGAAGAATCGTTTTTTCATCCAAGTACACATTTTACTGTTGCGTTAAACAGAGGCTACAGTTAAGGAATTGCGCCCAGTAAATCCTCCCCGGCCAGGATACGAACCCATGACATTGCGCTCGCGGAACGCCAGGCGAGTGTCTTACCACTACACCACGGAGACTGTAAATATATATATGTCGTACCTAGTAGCCAGAACGCACTTCTCAGCCTACTATGCAAGGCCCGATTTGCCTAATAAACCAAGTTTTCCTGAATTAATATATTTTCTCTATTTTTTTTCTCATGAAATGATAAAGCTACCCATTTCATTATGTATGAGGTAATTTTTTTTTATTGGAGTTAAAATTAACGTAGATATATGACCGAACCTAACCAACCCTACCTAACCTAACCTATCTTTAAAGGTTAGGTTAGGTAGCCGAAAAAGTTAGGTTAGGTTAGGTTAGGTAGGTTAGGTAGTCGAAAAACAACAAATTCTTGAAAACTTGGCTTATTAGGCAAATTGGGCCTTGCATAATAGGCTGACAAGTGCGTTCTGGCTACTAGGTACGACATATATATATATATAAAATATATATATATATATATATACTGTATATATATATATGTGATTTATATATTATATATATATATATGTGATTTATATATATATATATGATTTATATATATATATATATATATATATATATTATTAAATATGACCGAAAAAGTAAGATTAATAATTCTAACACGAATTTTCTCAATCCTTCGTACATTATGCTTCACTGTTGGAGGTAAATCAAAAATCACTTCTCCAAAAATTCATTTTTATTTCTAGTCTGACGCGACACGGGCGCGTTTCGTAAAACTTATTACATTTTCAAAGACTTCACAAATACACAACTGATTAGAACTTGCGCAAGTTCTAATCAGTTGTGTATTTGTGAAGTCTTTGAAAATGTAATAAGTTTTACGAAACGCGCCCGTGTCGCGTCAGACTAGAAATAAAAATGAATTTTGGAGAAGTGATTTTTGATTTACCTCCAACAGTGAAGCATAATGTACGAAGGATTGAGAAAATTCGTGTTAGAATTATTAATCTTACTTTTTCGGTCATATTTAATAATATATGTCTACAGGAAAGACTGCTACCAAAATATACTAATATATATATATATATATATATATATATATATATATATAGAATATATATATTAATATATATATTATATATATATATATATATATATATATGTCTGGTCAACATACTTCAGCCACGTTATTGTGACTCATCGCCTGCATATGGATACCACACGTACGCGTCTTACTCTGTTTAATTTCTTCGATGCTCTCTGTCCTCTTCACAATCGACTTGAGAATGGTCCAGGACGGACCGAAACGTCGTCGTCCCTTCAACTTCTAGTGTGTGGTCTGGTCAACATACTTCAGCCACGTTATTGTGACTCATCGCCTGCATATATTTATATATAATAATAATATATATATATATATATATATATATATATATATATATATATATATATATATATATATATATATATATATATTACTATATATATTTATTACATTTTATTACATATGTACAGATATATATACAAATATATATATATTATTATTTTATATATATATATATATATATATATATATATATATATATATATATATATATATATATATATATATATATATATATATATATATTATTAAATATGACCGAAAAAGTAAGATTAATAATTCTAACACGAATTTTCTCAATCTTTCGTACATTACGCTTCACTGTTGGAGGTAAATAAAAAATCACTTCTCCAAAATTCATTTTTATTTTATTATTAGACTAGAAATAAAAATGAATTTTGGAGAAGTGATTTTTGATTTACCTCCAACAGTGAAGCGTAATGTACGAAAGATTGAGAAAATTCGTGTTAGAATTATTAATCTTACTTTTTCGGTCATATTTAATAATATATGTCTACAGGAAAGACTGCTACCAAAATATACTAATATATATATATATATATATATATATATATATATTAAATATGACCGAAAAAGTAAGATTAATAATTCTAACATGAATTTTCTCGATCTTTCGTACGTTTCTTTTCACTGTTGGTGGTAATTCAAAAATCAATTCTCCAAAATTCATTTTTATTTCTAGTCTGACGCAACACTTGAGCGCGTTTCGTAAATCTTATTACATTTTCAAAGACTTTAGTTTACACATACACAACTGAATAGAACTTACACATCTTCGATTTGTTTATATCTACATTTGAGTGAGGTGGATGGGGTGAGGTGGTATTAATAGGGTATTAAATTCCTAAACACGAGACAGAACACGAAACAATGGGTATTGAATGGAAGTGATTGTAGAAAGCCTATTGGTCCATATTTCTTGATGCTTCTATATTGGAGCGGAGTCTTGAGGTGGGTAGAATATAGTTGTGCATTAATTGGCTGTTGATTGCTGGTGTTGACTTCTTGATGTGTAGTGCCACATCTTTTCTCGAAAGATCGAGAAAATTCGTGTTAGAATTATTAATCTTACTTTTTCGGTCATATTTAATAATATATGTCTACAGGAAAGACTGCTACCAAAATATACTAATATATATACTATATATATATATATATATAGTATATATATATATATACAGAATATATATATATATATATATATATATATATATATATATATATATATATATATATATATATATATATATATATATATATATATATATAATATAAAGACAATGTTTTCACTGTTCCTATGGGAGTGGCAGAATGGTCACACTCAGAATGCAGCATTTCATACTTATTTATTTATTTACAAGAAGGTACATTGGGTTTGTGAGAATACATAGCATAGTATTTACAATCTTGTAAAGCCACTAGTACGCGCAGTGTTTCGGGCATACTGACTGCTAACAGGAGTTGTCTGCTCCTGTACTTGTCTGTGTTAAAAAATATATTTTTTTTGTAATGTTAGTGGGTTTTTAATGCAGAAACAACAATGGCATGTTTGGATGATGACTACTCGTGGAGCCCGCCTTCAGAAGCGGAACTCAAAGTTATTGAGGCCAGACGGGAACGTAACAACAAGATATCATCCATAATGGGACAATATCTTCTAAAGGGGTACAAAATGTTGGCTATAACATGCCCAGTTTGTGAGGTAAGTGTTCCTTTAATTTACTGTCCTTATGTTTTATATATGTGTTTACTTTCACGTGGAAAGAGGATGCACTGTATATTTTAATTTGATATCCTAAGAAGGAATACCTTTTAGTTTTCTGTACAAGTTGTCTTTTGTTGTTATGGAATTAGCAACCTAATTTATGCCATTTTCCCCCAGTGCATTTTGTTAGAGGATCGCATACAAAATAAATATTGTATCGGATGCAGTGAAGTTGATGCTGACACATGGAAGGACAATCCAGGTACTGTATGTTATAATTTATATAAAGTATACCATATGTTTATGTATGCATGCGCATATATATATATATATATATATATATATACACAACTTTAGAACACTTTCCCACCAGGAGACTCGAACCCTAGCCAGCACAGAAGCCTTCCAGCAACTGGCATAACAGGTACGCCTTAACCTTCTAGGTTAAGGTAGGTTAAGGTAAGGCGCCTTAACGCCTTCTAAAGTTGTATACTTAACTCTCGTGTTTAGGAAAGTTGTGCCTTAAGCAGAGACACTGTGTCTTCCCATATTAACAAGGACTTGATGAAATTAACGTATAAATGACCCCTCACTTGCTCTGGTGCTCTTGGGAGGTGTTGATCTTTGGGGTATTTAAATACTCCGAAATTACCATCTCTTTTAAGGGTCTGAGCGGGTGGTGGAGCGGGTTAAGGCGTACCTGTTATGCCAGTTGCTGGAAGGCTTCTGTGCTGGCTAGGGTTCGAGTCTCCTGGTGGGAAAGTGTTCTAAAGTTGTATACTTAACTCTCGTGTTTAGGAGAGTTGTGCCTTAAGCAGAGACACTGTGTCTTCCCATATTAACAGGGACTTGATGAAATTAACGTATAATGACCCCTCACTTGCTCTGGTGCTCTTGGGAGGTGTTGATCTTTGGGGTATTTAAATACTCCGAAATTACCATCTCTTTTAAGGGTCTGAGCGGGTGGTGGAGCGGGTTAAGGCGTACCTGTTATGCCAGTTGCTGGAAGGCTTCTGTGCTGGCTAGGGTTCGAGTCTCCTGGTGGGAAAGTGTTCTAAAGTTGTATACTTAACTCTCGTGTTTAGGAGAGTTGTGCCTTAAGCAGAGACACTGTGTCTTCCCATATAAACAGGGACTTGATGAAATTAACGTATAAATGACCCCTCACTTGCTCTGGTGCTCTTGGGAGGTGTTGATCTTTGGGGTATTTAAATACTCCGAAATTACCATCTATTTTAAGGGTCTGAGCGGGTGGTGGAGCGGGTTAAGGCGTACCTGTTATGCCAGTTGCTGGAAGGCTTCTGTGCTGGCTAGGGTTCGAGTCTCCTGGTGGGAAAGTGTTCTAAAGTTGTATACTTAACTCTCGTGTTTAGGAGAGTTGTGCCTTAGGCATATATATATATATATAATATATATATATATATATATATATATATATATATATATATATATATATATATATATATATATGTATATATATATATATATATATGTATATATATATATATGTATATATATATATATATGTATATATATATATACATATATAATATATATATATATATAATATATATATACTGTATATATAATATATATATAACCCTTGGAAGGATGGTAAGCAAGTGGTATGGGACTACACGTGCGCTGCCACACTGGCCAGTACCTACCTCCACTACAGCACACGTGAAAGCGGTGGTGCTGCTTCTTTCAGGGAATCGCAGAAAATTATTAAATATAGAGGTCTAGCACACTGCTACAGCTTTGTTCCGATCG